GAATAGAATAAGGAATAGAACAGAATAGAATAAGGAATAGAATAGAATAAGGAATAGAATAGAATAGAATAGAATAGAATAGAATAAGGAATAGAATAGAATAGAATAAGGAATAGAATAAGGAATAGAATAGAATAGAATAGAATAGAATAGAATAGAATAGAATAGAATAGAAGTGTTGGAAGGGACCTTGGAGGTCTTCTAGTCCAACCCCCTGCTTAGGCCGGAAACCCTACACCACTTCTGACAAATGGTTATCCAATCTCTTCCTAAAAACTTCCAGTGTTGGAGCATTTACAACTTCTGGAGGCAGGTTGTTCCACTGGTTAATTGTTCTAAATGACAGGAAATTTCTTCTTAGTTCTAATTTGCTTCTCTCTTTGATGAGTTTCCATCTGTTGCTTCTTGACCCTGTAGCTCAGGTGCTTTGGAGAATAGCTTGACCCCCTTCCTCCTCCCTGTGGCAGCCGCTCAAATATTGGAAGGCTGCTCTCCTGTCTCCCCTGGTCCTTCTCTTCCCTAGACCAGCCAAGCCCAGTTCCTGCAACCGTCCTTCGTATGTTTTAGCCTCCAGTCCCCTCATCCTCCTGGTTGCTCTTCTCTTTTCTAGAGTCTCCACATCCTTTTTTACATCGTGGCTACCAAAACTGAACGCAGCATATTCCAAGTGTGGCCTCCCCCTTATAAAAGTGGTCTCAGCACTTTAGGTCATCTTGATTCTGTTCCTCTGTTGATGAAACCTAGGGTTGTGTTGGCTTTTTTGGCAGCTGCAGCACACGTCTGGCTCATATCTAAGGGATTGTCCCCCCTAGGACCTCAAGATCCCTCTCACAGTTACTACTACTGAGCCAGGTACCACCTTTGCTGTACCTGTAGTGGCCTCTGCCGTCGTTGTTGAACTTCCAGCCAAGGGCCTCGGGCCCAGCCCTGTTACCTTTGGGGGGACCCCATCCCTGCCACCTCCCCTCACCTGCACCATCATGACTGTCTTGCTGCCCTTGCCCAGGGAGTCCTGCAACAGGTAGGTGAGCCTGGAGTTGCGGAAGGGCACGTGGGCCTGCTTCGTCCGCAGGGCCTGGATGACCTCTCCAAGGGCCAGCAGGGAGCGGTTGATGCTCTGGGCTTCCTTCAGACGCTCCCCCTGCGCGCCAGACTTCCACACCCGTTCTGAGCCAGCCAGGTCCACCAGGTTGAGCTTCCCTGGAAGGACAAGGCGGTTGGTCAAGCTCTCCAGCACTGAAGCCGGTTCTGCATTGATCCAGGGCGAGGGGGCTTAAAAGAGCATTGGGTGGGTGGGTGGGGCCTTCAGCCTTCCCTCCCCACCCGATGGAAGGAGAGGCTCCAACAAATCTCCAGAACCGTAAAGCCTACAAACTTGAAATTTGGCTTCTAGGGGCTCACTGAGAAAGGATTTTTCCAAATGACCCTCAGAGCATTTACAGTATTTCCTATATTATTATTATTATTATTATTATTATTATTATTATTATTATTATTATTATTATTATTATTATTATTATTATTATTAACACGCTCTGATGCTAAGGAGTTCTACTCCCACTCCCCACCTGAGAAGAAATCTCTTCCAAATGCAAAACACAAGCAGAGGAGTTTCAGTTTCAGTTTCAGAGCACCAAGCAACTTTAGTACAGAACAGTTGAGCTAAGCCACGCCCAGGCTCCTTGCTGTCTCCTCCTTGCTCACACAGCAAATACTGTTTCAGTTTCCATGCAGCCCTCCACTCTCACGCACTGTCAGGACACTAGCCGGATGGACACCGATGGATGCTGGTCGGCAGAGGAAGAATTTGTTCCCCTTTATTTTCCTCCCCCAAAACTAAGCCCGACCACATAGTTTCGTAGGTGAAGCACCTGGGTATCCAGCTAGTACTTTATAACCAAATAAAAAAGTTTTTTTGGGGGGGGGGGAGGGCGGAAGGCGTCCACAGCTACCTGTGACTTTCGTGCCGCTGGTCAGCTCAGTGCCCGTGAGCGTAAGTGTGAGCAGAGCGTGCGAACGGGAGCTGTGTGCGTTCATGTGGGTGGAGAAGGTCGTGCGGTTCCGTTTTCCCAGTTGGAGAATCTGACACAGAGACAGATGAACAGAGTTGGAAAGTGGCGCGGTGGCCGAGGGGTGGAGCTCTCTCCTCCAATCAGGAGGCTGTGAGTTCGATCAACGAGAATCGATCTGCCGAATACAACTCCTCCCCGGCGACAAGAAGGGCATCCGGCCAGTAAACACTCAGCTCCATTCAGTTGCCCAGACTCCGCCCCAAGGCAAGGGATTATGGGGTCCTTAGAAGAGGAGGATGATACAGATGAACAGAGTTGGGGCGGGTTATGCTGGCTGGGGAATTCTGGGAATTGAAGTCCAC